CGTGAAACTGCCTGTGATTCAAGAGGCTTCATGTGGGAATAACTAGTTTGAACCTGAAGGTGTTACTGGTCAAGCCAAAATGAACAGAAAAAAACCTTTTCATCTTTGAGTAAAAACAATAAATAATATCAGTAGTGAATAGTGTCAATATTTCTTAATCCAAATATTCACTGATCACCTATTGGTGGTAATACTGGGGATCATCAAATCAACCACAACTCATAGCGACCCTATGAACAGCAGCCCTGAACCCTGCCCTGTCCTGCACCATCCTCACCATCCCTGCTACTCCAGCTCACTGCAGCAGTCCCTGTGTTAATCTACCCCATGAGGGTCTTCCTCTCTTTGATTGACTCTGTACCTTCCCAAGCAAGATATTCTTCTCCAAGGACTGGTTCCTCCTAGCAACATACCCAAAGGAAGATGGAGTTTCATCAGCCTTCTCTCTAAGGGGCATGCTGCACTTTCTCCAAACATGTTTGTTTGTTCTTTTGGCTGTCAATGGGCTATTCAGCCCTCTTCTCCAACACCTTCACTCAAAGGTATCAATTGTTCTACTGTCATACACTATCAATGTCCAGCTTTCTGATGCATAGAAAGGAACTGAAAAGATTATAGGTTATTTTCTTCTTTCATTTTGCATAGCCAAAAATGAGCAATCAAATTTATTCAGGCAACAGGCCTTTTATGCAAACAAGCAACGTAAAAAAAAAAAAAAATTAAGTGGGAAAAAATAAATCCAATGAATACCAGATCAAAACCCTGTCCTTTCCCATGTCATCCTCACTTTCTTCTCAATGTGCTCAACCCACTTTTACAGTCACTGCACCATCCATCTTCTTGAAGGACTTCCGCTTTCCCTCTTACCCTCCACATTTCTCAGCATAATGTCTCTCATCAAGGACTAGCTGCTTCCGAAAACATAGCTAAAGTCTGTGGGAGAAAGTTTCACCATCCTTACTTCTAAAGAACATCTTAGTTGCACTTCCTTCAAGACAGACTTGTTCATTCTTTTGGCATTTAATGAGGAATTCAGCTCTCTCCTCCATAACTATAATTCAAAGGTAATGATTCTTCTGTTCTTTCCTATACATTGTCCACCTTTCAGGTGTATAGGAAATAACTGAAAATATGGCTTGAATCTTGCATACCTTAGTCTTCTAGGTAATATATTTTGTAGTAATGTACAAACTCAAAAAAAGAAAAACTAGACTAAGGAAGGAGAATAGTAATGACTTGTGGTATAGCTTATAATATTACAGTATTATTTTGGCCATATCCTACATAAATAACACATCAAGAACCAGAGCAAGACCGATCTAAGGCACAGAATATAATCAGATTATCAGTGTAGTGAAGAGAATTTTTTCACAACTCTCCTCTGTAGGAACATGTATGTATGATACTATCAGGATATACAAGAGTTGCTGAACAGTACAATGAAGTACATCGATACCAAGCAGGATTGATTAAACAGAACTACTTTTTATAAGGATACAAGATGAAATAGTTGATTAGGAAACTGCTGATTGGATACCATATAAAGAATGAAATTGCTCTTCACTGAAGAAAAGTCCAACAGTAACTCTGAAATGACTACAGACCTATCAAGCGTGAAATATGTATTCTACAACCACCTTTTTTATATCTTCAATAAGGGAGAATATCAGTTTAAAAAGTAACATGTAACCAGGTGGGTTAGTACATTCTTTTTCAGATTTCTATTATTTCCTATTTCCCAAAGGGACCTATAACATCTTACAGAGAAACACACTAAACATAAGTTAAAATCCAGTTATCTAATAAAAAAAGCACTTGAAGGAAACTGAGCTGGACCGATTGCCGATGAGAACAGTGGTTAAATGCTCAACTGTCAACCAAATGGTTTAAAGTTCAACCTACCAGCTGCTCCCTAAAGAAATGACCGTCCGCTTCCATTAAGATTTACAGCCTTGCTAACTCTAAGGTAGTTCTACTCCTGTCCTTTAGGGAGCGCTGGTCGCAGAGTAGTAAGGACATGAACTGCAATTACAAACACATGAGATTTGCATTCACCAGTTGGTCTGTGGGACAAAAATGGACAATCTCCTCTCATGCAATTTACTACCTCTGATAACCCACTGAAGGGTCAGCTATGGGTCGATTCCAATTCAATGGTACATACCAGTATTATATAAAGCCTATTCTGTAACATATTAAACAGTATTGACTATTACACTGAAAGAAGTATTTCAATAAATCCACAAAGCAATTCAATAGTGAAACACCTAATAAGCTATGTTTAATGATGGTATTTCTGCAATAGGCTATCCAAATATCTGGCCCTTGTCATAAGGTAACAAAAGTATACACTTACACTATCTAACAGGCACAGCTATTAGAAACACTAGCTCTCCATCCTGTTTATCAGTCTCTTGTGACTTAGTTTTAGTCCATGTTAAATTTAAATTTAAGGTTTTCATTAATATGCAATGCAGCTATTCTATACTGTTGATGAGGGTGCCACAAACAGATATGTTGATTATTTCAAGATACAAAGGAATTTAGTAGAATGACTTCTATACAGGAGAAATTCAGTGAATTTTCTACCTTCCAGAGGAGTCATATTTATATTTTTATCCAGAGAGGATGAGAATAACCTATGATAATCAAAATTATTTCAAATTCATATGTCAATTAACATTTTTCAGAAAACTAAAAACAGTACAAGCATCTAACTAAAGTTGCTGACTCTCTCTTCCACTAGGAAATAAGTCAAAATGCATAGCCGATTAGTATGTAAGAATAATAGATAACACTGACTGTGATTTCAAAAATACGTAACAAAGGTTATTTGTAAAGGGAGTAACTCAGTACCTGATATGAACTCACATATGTCACCAAGTATTATCATTAAGATAGAGATTTTCCCAGACAAACTCCTTTATTTTAAATGATAAGAAAGTTGTGAAATAGAAAATTCAAGTGATACAGGCCTCATAAGGTAGCTGAACCAGTGACTGCTGCCGACTGAGTACTTAGAATATTCCTTCTAACATACCAGGCTGCTTGGTATGAACTTAAATGCTCACACTTGGATGAGATCACTATTTCTCTCGTTTGCTTTCTTCATCTTCTCTGAATCACAGTTGTTATTTTTAACATTCTCATTACAATCTAATGTTCCGATCTGTTTTCTGAATGAACAATTTCACAATTGAGCATGTCCAATTCTTGGATTTCTAAACTTCTTGTTTTGTTGTTGTTGCTGTTGTTTTGTGGTACGCTGCTGAGTGGACTCGACTCACAAGGACCCTATATATAACAGCTATGAACCTGCTCTATCCTGAGTCAACCTCATTGTCTCTGACACACCTATCCCCAATACCCCAGTCATTGAGTCAATCCATCTCATCCAGGGTCTTCCTCTCTTGCACTGTCTTTCCACCCTCCCAAGTATGATGTCCCTCTCCAAGGACTGGTCGCTCCCTTGCAACATACCCAAAGTATGTCAGATAGAGCTTCAAAATCCTTGCCTCCAAGAAGCAGCCTGGCTTCATCCTCTCCAGGACAGACTTTCTAAACTTCATTGTAAGAAATAATTTTTAAAATGAGCTTTAAAAAAATCATGAAAGAAAATGTATAATGTTCACAAGTAAACATAAATTCTTTTCTCCTGGAGCACTTAATCGAGACAAATTTATTGAGCACCTATGTACTGCTTAAGATGATTAGACAGGATCTTCACCCTCATGTAGTTTATAAACTGAGAAGATATTAGGGTACCCTAAGAAGAGAATTCCCCTAATATCTCAGGGTACCCTAATATTATAGGCTTGGAAGCAGGAGTGGCATTCAACTTCTGAAACAGCTTGCCTCCGTAAACTCTATGAACTTAGAGAAACGATGAGGGCTTTCATTCACAGAGTCGCTATGAACTCACTTAACAACAACAAAAAAGAGGACAGAATTTTTTAAGTGATGGATCAATCAGTGATGATTACCTATGATAGTATTAAGCACCAAAAAGGGAAGAAAGGTCAGTATCACCTATCTTTTACAGAGTCCAAATTGAATCAAGAAATCTTCAATTTATTCAAGGATGGAATAAAAGCTGGTTTTTCCACACCACAGTTTGGTATCTACTAACTTTCAAATAACAATCAAACAATTCCCAATGGAAAATAACCTGATTTCACTGTAGCTGTATAACATTCAGAATTAATTCTTAATACAACTATAAGTCATTATTTTAAAACCACAGGAGAATAAACCCACCCTTCAAATATGTCAAATATTAATTCACAATTCCTCTGCACAACTGCATAAAGTTTTCCTCAAATCTTCAGAATAAAAACCTCATTTGGTACAAGAAAATGACAACCTGGAGAACCGACAGTCCTGTAAGGATGACAACCACCACTTGGGAATTAAAAGCAGTTCATATTCCTGAGAAACTGATTTTCGGTTGGAAGGTTTAGAAAGAGAAGCAGAGAGATCATTTTTATTTACACATTTAAGTAAAATCTTGACTTTTTTTAAAATGCAAAAGAAAAAGCGTCAAAGAGACAAGGAAGAGATTGGGGGAAGAAAGGGGACGTGCAAAACCCCAAACATGAAAGAAGAAAGGAAGGACTGTAGAAAAGAATTAGAAAGAATGCTGAAGAGTGAGAAATGCAGGGAGGAGGAAATGGGGCAAGAGAAGGGACGGGGAAAGGGCTATTTTTAAATTATTTGAGAATAAATGTGCGATCATAGAGAAGAATGGGCTTGGGCTACCTCAACGAGGGCAGAGACTAGACAGGAGTAAGAAAGGCCGAGGGGCGGCTAGAGGACCAGCGAGTTTTAACCTCCTTTTTCCCAGAGAGGGAGGAAGAAGTGGTTCCCAAGTCCCAGGGAAAGAATTCCGGAGCAGCATCCAGGAGCCGGAATCTGCGAGTCGGGGAGCCCCAGAGCCGCTCGCCGGCCCCTCTCCATCCCCCAGGATCGAGAAACGGGGCGGGGCCCGGCGTCCCGGTTACCTGGACAGGGAGTCCACGCTGGGCGGCCGCGCCGCCGCCGGCTGGGAGCCCAGACTCTCGCAGCTGGAGCTCTTCTCCATGGTGCGGCGGGGGCGGAGGAGCGAGAGGCTGCAGCGCCCTCAGCGGCGGGCCGAGCGGGGGGAGCGGAGGGCGGAGTGCGCCGAGCCGGGGCCGCTGTCAGGCGAGAGCCGGCCCGGGAGGAAGACCGGAAGCGGCCATGTTCCCCCACACTGCACCGCGCCCTGGGGCTGCGCGGAGCGGGCGGGCCCGGGGACCCTCGGACGCCGGGCCTCAGCCACTGCTCCTCACGCTGCGCAGCCTCGGGGCTCGGGCGGGGCCGCCGAGGGCAGCGCCTGGGTGAGAGGGTGTCAGCTGACCGAGAGACACGATCAACACAAAGATTTTGCACGCGGGGATGACTGAAGTATCACTATGGAGAGCATTAAGGAAAACGGGATGGCCTGGAGAGTGATAGGGCACAGACGGGAGAGCCAGGGGACTTAAGGATGAGGAAGGGGGTGCTGGTGGCCTAGTGCCAAGACGCCGCGCTGCAATCCAAAGACTTATGGTTCGAATCCACCAGCTACTCCGAGGAAGAAGGATGGGCAGTCTCCTCCTCTGTGATTAAGTGCCTATGAAAACCCGCCGGAGGGTCAGCTATGGGTCGGTTTCGACTCAATGGTACACATTAAGAAGTGTGAGGATGTGGGAAATAAGAGGGTTAAAGGATCACCAGATAGGGGTTGAAAATACTGCTGGGCGAGGGCAGATTATGTGAAAGACTACATTAGAGCCAGTCAGATATGGATTCGAATCCTGCCTCTACCAGGGTGACCCAGGGCACTGAAAATCAGCTTCTTTATAGAATTAAATCCACTGCCTTTAAACTGATTCTCACTGTTGGGGCACCATCGCATGTACGAGGCATCTATAAAATAGGAAAAAAAATAGCCTCATAAATGAGATGCGTCTACTAGTGTTAACTATTAATAGTATTAGTGGTAAGGAGCTGTGCTGTCAACCCAAAGATGCCCTGTTGAATCCCCCAGCTTCCTTCGGGAAACAGATAGGCAGTCTCCTGGCATGTGATTTACTGCCTCTGAAAACCCACTGGAAGGTGCGCTGTGAGTTCCCACTTGACGGTACTCAACAACAATGCGCAACTTCATCAGGATTAATAAAATCAAAAGAGACTAATGTAGACAGCATATACAATTATGAAGAGAACTTAAATAAATGTTGGTATAGAATGGGTGGAAGAAAATTAAGAATGACTAATCTCAACCCATTGCCCTGGAGTCGGAACTGACTCAGTTTCCTCCAATGGATTTCTGAGGTCATAAATCACACAGCAGGAGATGGCTCATCTTTGTCCGGGAAGTGGATTTTAATCTCTTGAGCAATGTAGCCTTCGGATTAGCACAACTCCCTAAAAGTACACTTATAGGAAAAGCATACCACCGTTGGGAATGTAATCAAATGCTCATTTTTCCATTACCACTCCGAACCCCATTACCACTCCGAACCCCTCATCTCCAATCACTATTTAAGAAAATCACTCACTAGAAAGCAACTCAAACTATTCTTTTGTGACTGTATTGACTATTATGACTATTGGGTTTATGTTGTCTGCAAGTGGTGTAGGGGACAAGCACTTTGCCATTAATCCATTGTCCATATGAAGAGGTACAGATAGGGAGCTGATCAATGAGCAGACAGAATTCTTCACTGCTTTTTCAGTGGCATTAGCTAGAGGGCAAGCTTGCAGAGCTCTTTCCCTGCTTCTCAAATTCCCATGCAGAACCGGAAGGGAGGGGAGTGGGATAGAACTGTGATAAGAACAGGAACTGGGTAAAGGGGAAATGCTTCTGTTAGTAATTTTCTCTTACAAAGGACACAGGAAGGACGAGGAGAAAGGACACCATGAAGGAATTTTTCAGGCTGAAACGGAATTCCAATCCTTCCTTGTAGAGGGTGTAAATTATGCAAAGGTTATCTGTACAGAATTAAACAATTAATCCTCAGCACAGCCCTTTCTTGCTAGGATAAATAGAACTGTCACATTAAAGTAGATTTCATTTACGCTCTGTAATTGATGTTTTAGGAAAATATTAAAGTACATGGCCAGTTAAGCAATTAACTTGCAAATACATTGAAAGAACAACCTAGTAGAGTTGGATTCAATGTAAGCTACAGTTATCATTAGAGAATAAACAGCATTTCTGTCTTATTCTCTACCTTGGCAGAGGCAAATAACAACCAGTCGTTTTTTCCCCCTGAGACTTTTCAGAGAACTTTTCTGGTCGGCAAATGGTAAGCAATCAGAAATAACATTTAACAAGTATGAGAATTCTGCAGTGATTCATAAAAGAATTTCCTTTTGCTTTCCAATCAGCATCCTTTGGAAATGTTGGCTCATGGCTATCATCTAATACTCAAAATTCCTAAACTAAATATGAAAAAGATTTATGACCCCTTGAAAAGGAGAGTGATGTCTCCTAGTTCATTTCTAATCTGTTGGTGTGGAGTTCATTTCAATCCATGGGACTGTAAATCATTACAGGAGGAGACTGCCCATCTTTCTCCCACAGAGCAGCTGGTGGATTCATATTGCCAACCTTTTGTTTAGTGTCCTGATTCCTTACACACTACACTGCTGTTGTTGTTAGGTGCTGTCGAGTCGTAGACAACTCAATGAGCCTATGAACAAAAGAACAAAAGGCCTGAGCACTGTTCATACATAGCGTTTCCAGAGGCAAGCCATTTCAGAAGTGGATGCTTCTCCTGCTTCCAGGCTTATTTTAGTCGGGAAGTTCCAGCAAACACTATCCACCATGGGTAACCATTACCATGTTTGGCACATCCGTGTAACAGCATTCAGCATCACAGCAACCACGAGTTGCCTCTGTACAGCAATGCACAGACCAGTGCTATACTACCTAGAAGAATGTTTGACAGGAAAACAATTTGAACCTGGCCTGGGGACCGCAGATTAAAATCCCCCACCTTTGGCTTGGTAGCATAACGTTCTGTCCACTAGGCCAACGTAGCTCTCTCTATGTCGTCGTTGTTATTATTATTGTTAGGTGCTGTCGAGTAGTGGATGACTCATAGCAAACCTATGAACAAAAGGCCTGAGTGCTAGGACTACATAATTTAAATCATCTGCCTGATTATAATCATTTGTGTGGAATTCTATGTAATGGCAAATAAGCAACAATAAAAGTTAGCTATAGACATTTTGGAACCAAACAAGTCAGCACTGGAATTCTGGTTCTCTCACGTGGTCTATGATTTTTATCAAGATGTTACTCCAAGTCTCAGTTTTAACTCTAAAATGGGAATTAAAATACCAACATGATGAGCTGTCTCTACACAGACGTTGTTGCATAGTAGGCTCTTAGTAAATGGATTTCTTGCTAGTAATCGTTCTTCCACTGAACTAACTGCTTACTTCTAATATAAATGGTTAGTTTCTCAGAGTCAAAACCAAAGGGAGCTTTGGTGGCTTAGAGTTAAATTAGTGCTGAATTCCTTTCCTGACAAATTGGCGGCTGTGCCTTATGTCAGAGAGAACAACTTCAGTAGAACTTTTTGCACCTTGGTTTCAGAACATTTCAATCTATTCCAGGTCATTCAGTAACTATGATTAAGAGCAAATTACAATCTAGACTCACTTTTCCCATTAATTAGTTCCTTTAAGATCATTTCATATGTGGTTCTTTTTATTATCTAGGCCAAGTTTTTTTGGTTTTTGGTCTATTGGGGGGTTTTAGTTTCAGTATGTCACTATTTTTTAAATATTAGAGACAATTATTATCAAATAGAAACAGTGAAAAAAAGAATTACATTCTAGAACACATTTCTAAACACTTGCCTCAACAAAAGCATTAGTACTTTCTAGAGGAAAGTAACACTACTCAGAGCCTTTAAAACATACATACCATCAATATTGTCCCAGAACAAAACCCAAAATGACTTGACGTGCAAAGTATGGGGGAGGGAGAAGAAATTAAAACCCATCCTTTTTTTTTCTATAATTATATTTTATT